CGGCCACTGCACGGTCTTCCCGTGGCCGACCTCCCGACTGCGGTGGGTCCAGCAGCAGAGCGGCCTGATGCTCGGTGGCAAAGCCGAGTCAAAGCCCCAGAGGCTCCCGGGGACACTGCAGTCAGACCCGTTCTCACAGCTGGACCCCGTGCCCGCAGGGCGAGCGGCTCCCCAGGGGGAGTGTGCAGGGCAGTCTCCCTTCAGCCCGGGACACGGAGCCGCCCAGGGCTCCCTGCTGCAATCCGATTCCTGAGAAATAATTGGAAGGAACCGCCCCCTCCCCCCCCGCCCCCCGCCAGTGTCAGACCCCCTGCTGACTCCTGGAGCCCCGGGACTCGGGCCTCGGGCCTCAGGCCCTGGAGTTGGTGGCTGAGGTTCACCGCTTCCCCCTCCTCTGGTCCAGCTCAACACGCTGGTTCGAGGAGCCAGGCTGCAGCTGAGGTCAGAAGGTCAGCCCCCTGCTCTCGGAGGCTCTGGGGGGAGGCGGGAGGCCCTGGGGCATCTGGGGGGCCCACGGGAGCTTGGCCAGAGGCAGGCCCTGGGTGGCCTGGGAATCACCCACCCCGGCTGCCTGCTAACTGCCCGTCTGTCTGTTTCTTGGTTCTCGCAGTGAGAAGCGCCACCTTCAAGTCAACGTCACCAACCCCGTGCAGTGCAGCCTGCACGGGAAGAAGTGCACCGTTTCCGTGGAGACGCGGCTCAACCAGCCACAGCCCGACTTCACCAAGAACCGCTCGGGCTTCACCCTCAGCGTGCCCGGGAACTGAGGCTCCCCAGCCGGGCGCACTCGGCATCCTGGTCCCCGTCTCGTTGCTTATCCGATCCCTGCTGCCCCGCTAGAAATCAGCTCCAGGGCCTCGAGGGGGGCGCGGCCCCTCTGCCTCCTTGCAGGCCCCTCCCCTGAGATCTCTTCGCCTCCTGCCTTCGGTCTCGCCTCCCTCTGCCCCAACCGTCCCCAGTCCCGTCAACAAACCAAAGAGCCCGGTGCCCCATCCCAGAGCCCCAGGCGGGCTCCCCCCAGCCTCACCTCAGAGGCAGCTCAAAGGTGCCTTCAGTTGGTGAGGGTGTCCCTGGACGGGCCAGGTGGGGTCAGCACCTTGACCCAGGACCCCCTGCTGGCCCTGTAGGAGGTGGGGTGGGAGCCTCCTGCTCCCTCTGTGAGCCCATCCTGCCCCGCCTCGCCCCCAGGGGGCCGAGGTCCCCGTGGCTGTTTCTCGGCTCCTCCGTGGACCCCGTTCTCCCAGCAGCAGCCAAAGCCACCAGGTGAGCAGGTTCACCTGTAGGACCAGCCCCTCAGCCCAGGGGCAGTGGCTGGCAGGACAGCCATGCCCCGCTGGCAGCCGGCCTGCCCAGGTCTGCCCCGCCCGGCCTCCTGGCCACCTCTCTGCCAGAGCAGGGGGGAGGGATGCTCCCAGGATCCTCTTCACCACGTGCCTGTGCCCGCGGCTGCCTTCACGTATTTCTGCAGCTCGCAGGGCTGCTCGTCGGATACCGTGTCCGCTGCACCCACACTCGCGTCAGGAACACTAGTAAAGTGGAGTCGCAGGGGCGGGGCCCCTCGTGGGCCCCTTCACGCTCGTGGAGAACTAGGGCTGGGACAGGAGGGTCAGAGCACACGGGAACCGTGGGGGCTGAGGAGATAGAAAAGGCGGAGTCCTGGCACTGCGGGCCAGGCCAGCATGTCCACCTGCCGCGGGCACGCCGCCCTCAGGCCCGGAGAACAGCACCATCTTGCCTGTCTGTGCCCAGCACGTGCCTTCAGGTGTCTGCCTGAGCCCACCCCCTGCCATGTCTCAGCTGAAGGGGGCGCCTGGCCCTCTGGGCAGCATGAGCCCCCCTCGCCCCCGCTGGAGCCTTGGAAGGGGACTCGGCACCCTGCGAAGGGGCTGAAGGTGAGCCCAGGCCGCAGGAGCCTGGCAAGGTGTGAAGACACCTGCTCCCTGCTCCTCACCCACCCCCACGCTCCCGTCCTGCCACCCTGGCCCCGCACAGCACACCAAGTGCCTGATGCAGACTCCGGTGCCTCACCCAGGGCCCCCAGGCGGTCCCGGCAGCCTGGTCTCAGCCGCACCCCCGCCTGCTTCGCAGGGCTGGCCAACACTGGCACCTGCGCAGTTTGCAACAAAGAATCCACCTGGCAGCCTGTCCTTGGGAGCCATTCTCCCTCCCGAAGCCCGGCCAGCTGCCCGCGCCGCGCAGAGGGCCACCAGCCCGGCTCAGCGACGCGCGTCCTTTTGCCAAGCACCTGGCCGCTACTGGTCTCAGCCGCACCCCCGCCTGCTTCGCAGGGCTGGCCAACACTGGCACCTGCGCAGTTTGCAACAAAGAATCCACCTGGCAGCCTGTCCTTGGGAGCCATTCTCCCTCCCGAAGCCCGGCCAGCTGCCCGCGCCGCGCAGAGGGCCACCAGCCCGGCTCAGCGACGCGCGTCCTTTTGCCAAGCACCTGGCCGCTAGCGGAACCACCTGAAGTGGACCGCCGCCTCTCCATCCGCTTATTCCCCCGGCCTGTCGCTTTCTACAGGATACGTGCAGTGTCTGTCCCAGACACACCAAAGTGGAACCTGCCAAATGAGTGCCTTTCAGAGGCCGGGGGGAGGGGGAGGGCTGGCGGCCTGGCCTCCCTCCGCCTCTGCGTGGCCCGGAGCCTCAGCCCAGCCCAGGGCCTCCGGGCTGAGGGCCACCGGTGGCCATGGGCACTTGCATCGCGTCCTAAGAGAAGTTGGTGTGGGACTGAGGGAGGATCAGGAATGTAGGGCGAAGGGGAAGCAGGACACAGTGATTGTACGCAATGAAGTGTTTCTCTTGATTTAATTAAATGCAATGTAAGGTTTGGTGCATATATTCCTATTTTCCATTAAATTAACTCTATTTCTAAAGCATATTTTGATTTACCATCAAGAGCAATAAAGCGTTAAATCTTATTTTAAAGGTGTTCTGCTTACCTTTCATTGGAAACTCCACCCGTGATTGTGAACTTTTCGCTTCTACACAGCCCGCTGTTACCCCGAGGAAGGGAGGGCGCATTCAGCACAAATACTGCGAAATGCAGGGTAAGGCACCTGAGCCTCCTGAACACAAATACTACGTGGTGGGAAAAAGACCTCTTATCCTCTGAGGCAGCATGGAGGGACCTGGAGAGGTTAGGCTAAGCCAATAAGCCAGGCAGGGAAAGACAAGCATCACATGACCTCACTCATATGTGGAGTCTAATGAACAAAGTAAACTGATGAACAAAATAGATGCAGAGACATGGGAGCAGGGAACAGCCTGAGGAGTCTCCGAGGGAGGGTGGAAGAGATCAACCGAAGACCTTGTGTGCATATATGCATAACCCATGGACACAGACCACAGGGTGGGGAAGGCCTGGGAGGCAGGGGCAGAAGAGGTCATTGGGAGGGAAAGGGGGGCATATGTAATACTTTTAACAATGAAAAAATATATAAATAAAACATATATATATATAAATAAAACATATATATATATATAAAACACATGGTGAGAAGAAAGCTGTGGAAAGGAGTAATGGGGGGAAGGCAGTGGGGTTCAATCCAAACACTTTCTGTGCCATTTTGAGGCCTGATTGCTGACTCCAAGTTCAATGCTTTTGAGGTCACTGAAACTGAAGCATCCATCTACGAAGGAAAGGCTCGATTCCTATGGCTGCAGCCGGGGGAGGGATCCAAGGCTGGCCGGCTGGGGGTGGCAGAAGGACCAGGACTTCTCAGGGTGGGGGAAGCTGCAGGCCCTGGCACCCACGGCCCTGCAGCTACAGGAGGCCACCCTGTCATCACAGGAAAGAACATGCAGTGCGACCTCTGGGACTCGGACCACGGGTGGGGTGTGGGGGAGGCTGATAGCCCCCAGGTTGCAACCTGAGCAGAACAGCCTTCCTGGTGCCCAGGGGCAGCTGCAAACCACAGGCGCAGGGCCTGGGCAGGTCAGAGCCCACCACCTAGTCCCTGAGGCTTGGGCTGGGGGCATGAGGACAGAGACCACTGGCAACACGGGCACACCTCATTTTATTGCGCTCACAGATGTTGCATTTTTAACAAGACCCTCCACCAGCAAAAAGATTACGGCTTGCTTTACTGCACTGCTCCCTTGTTTATGGTGGTCTGGGGCCGAACCACAGTACCTCTGAACGATGCCTGTCCAGCCAGAGGGGACCCCACCCTTGCACAATTATGGGCTTACTGGACGCCCCAAGGCTGGGCCACATGGACACCACTCCTCCAGCTGGTCTGAGTGTCTCTGAACAGTGGGTGCTGAACAGAGCCAGACCCACAACATATGGGGCCACAGCCTTGGAGCCAAGCTCCACAATCGGGTCCCTGCAGGACCACCAGCCAGCGGTCACCAGGCCGTGCCTGGGCCTGATCAAGCCAAGAGAGCCACTCCTGCCCCGCCCAGCAGCTCAACCCTAGTCGACTTAACCTGTGCTTCTTCCTTAATCACCTTCACATCCACGTGCTCTGCTTGTTAAGCCCTCTCCCCTAACCCGGCCCCTCCCTTCTCCCACCACCCTTCCCCTCCCCCATGACACAAATCCAATTATATTCTGAGTGCAGGAATCGTTTATAAAAAGCCGCCTGGCCTGCTCGTGAATGATGTGCCCACGAAAGAGGTCTATGTAATGGATGGTCAGTGCATTTTATTTAATCAGCACGGTACAAAAATAAATAAAAATAAGGGAAGGGGAATTAAATTACAGCCAAACTGAGCTTCATGACCTTGTCAGATTATAAACCACACATACTTACAAACACGCTACACATACATACGGAATGAGACAAATATAAATTAATATTAACAATACCCACAGTTTGGTCAAAGAATAGCTACAGAAGAAATTGCACTAAAAAAAACCAACATACATCGCACGTTGTGTAATTAGCAGTTTCAAATATACAGCTATGAAAAGATTCCGAGTGAAAAAAAAATGGCACATTTTCCTTTCATTGCAAGTTTAACAACTGTTGGAACAAAACTAACTCCTAATAACTGCATTTAAAGAATATATCAACCCTTCAGCTTTACAAGAAAGAGAAAAACCAAATCCTGAACGAGTATTCCTGTGACTTGTTCTGTGCACGGGTGTAAATTTCACAGCCATCTGTTCTAAGATTATTTTTCTTAAGACACAAAATGCTCCTGGTCGGCATGCACAATATCACTGTAAAAGCAACAATGAAAGAATAAAGGGGTGGTGGTGGTGGTTTTTTTTTTTGTCAGTTTTTTTTTCTGTATTTTTTTTATGTTGTTCTAAAAGTAGTCTTCATAGCAGCATGTCAGCATGTCAAACGGGTTCATTGCTTGCACACTCAAGTGTATCAGTTCCTTTACACAATACTGATGACCAGTGCAAGGGGAGGGAGGAGGACGCGCCAGGCTTTCACATGGATGGAACTAGAGTTACGTCCTTAGTCCCCGACCACTCCTGACCTCTGCACCTCCTCCAGAACATAAAAAAAATAAATATGGAAAAAAGAGAAGGAAACACACAAAACAGGAATCCTGTGGATGTGACTGAGCAGTTTCAGGCCAGGTTCAGCCCGCCGAACAAGTGACTGCAAACACGGGCCCCTCCTCTTGAGACGCGGCATCGAACCACCCTCTTCCATGCCACCAGGGCCCGCTGCCCTCTAGGGCCTCCTACCTCAGGTCACACGTGGCAGCAGATCTGAACAGACAGGCCGGTGACAATCCAGCGGAGAAGAAAGAGGCGCTGCAGTGAAGTCTGTGCCAGCGGCCGCGGGTCCTCCCAGCCCTGCATCAGCTTCTCTGGCGGCCCCTGAACGGCTCGGCGTGGGCCTCGAGGCGCAGCTGGGGCAAATGCTCTCGCGCATGGGCAGGCCCCCGTCCGCACATGCGGGCTGGCCGCGGGCTCTTAGGGCCAACCTCAATTTCACAGCTTGCTCTTTTTAACGTGATTTTCAGTAGTGCTTGTGCTGAGATGGCAGCCACCTGGGACCTAATCCTGTGTAACATGAGCCTCGGCCTCCCCACCCACCCCCCATTCCAGCACTCCCTGGGGGGCTGGGAAGAGCGAATTCTCTGGAGCCTTCGCACTGCTCTTTGTTCCCCAAAGCCAGGGCGATGGGCCATGGAGGAAGACTCGGTCCCTTCTCTTGGTCCTCTCCCAAGTCCCAAGCCACCAATCTGGGAGAATTAGAAAGAAAATTGATTAAGTACATATCCTGTGTTTTTACAGCCACTAAAGTGGAAACCAAAACCAGCAGCTGCAAATGATCAGTTGTAGAATCAGCAGGCTCACAAAGCAACCGGGAGTCCTACCCCGGCCTGTAATTGTCTCTGAGATCCAGCTGTCTCCCTGGGCCTTGCAGGGCAAGGCTTCGTCTTCAGAAGAAACCGAACTGTCTGGAAACAGCTTTAAATGAAAAGGGGTAGGAGTAGGGGGTGGGGGTACATCCTTACCAGCCCCCACACCCCAGCTCTGCAGAACAGCCTGTGCACCAGCAAGAAGAGGCCTCAGCCCGTAGGTGGGCTCTGGCTTGGTCTCAGGCCTGGCACGCCCCCTGCCAGAGGCAGGCGGGTGGGTGGTCATGGGCACCGCAGTTGCCCTGGCCTTCACCACGGGGTGACTAAGCGGCATGACCCAAGTGAAACACTCACCCAGGAAAGGAGTGTCCCCAGCTTCACCCCACCTCTTGAGCTGGGACCCACAATAAAAGAACTTCATGAGTCAAACCAGCTCATTAACCAACACTGCCGACATGGCCGGGAGCAGGGGACAAGGGGACTGAGGGGCAAGTTCCGTGTCTCCACTAAAGGAAAGCCCTTCTCCCTAAAAAAGAAAAAAGAGCAAACGAGGGTTGTGCACGGCCAAACAACAGGACACAACCTTTGCACCAGGCTGGCTTCTCCTAGATCGAAGAGGCACAGCTTGCCTCGCCACCCCACATGCGGCTCAGTCAGGATGGCGGCTCCAGGAGCCTCTGGGAGAATGGACCACCCAAAACTGGAGCCAGAAAAGGGCCCCCCACTAGAGGCGCCAAATCCTCCCGGGGTCACCTGGCCAGAGGCCCCTCTCCAGCTCCCGCGCAGGGAGCGACCGACAGCCTCACCTGCCCTGGTCCAGCAAGGGCGCAGGCGACAGAGGCAAATCAGTCCTTGGAATCCCCCAAAGTCGAAGGTCGGGGGCCTGGGTGGCTCTGAACACATCTTCTGGGTTTTGCACACGGTCCAGGAGTTCAAACGCGCCCAGAGTTCTTGGCAGAGCTGAAGAAAAGCCCTGGCAGGGCTGAAGGTGGGCCGGGATCGGCCCTTGGTGGCTTTGCTAGACACATACTGTACATAAAATCTGATTTGTTTAATAATAAATTTTTAAAAATGAATTGAATCCTTGAGCCGTGATGCATGCTACGGGGCTCACCGATCCAGCCCTAGCAGGAGCCGCTTCTTGTCCTCCTGGCCACTCTCGTTCTTCAGGTCGGAGAACACCTGTGTGAAGTAGTGCGGGTCCGCGTTGATCTGCAGCATCTTGGAGCTCATGAGGTTGATGACGGAGAGGCAGCGGTCCCAAAAGGCCTCCTTGCAGCTCTCCACCAGGAAGGGCTTGAGCGGGTAGGAGATCTCGTTGCCCATGTAGGAGTAGGAGAGGTACAGGCAGGTGAGCAGCACGGCCTGGAGCTCGTGGTCAGAGCCCACCTCGGAGGAGATCACGTCCCTACAGAGCATGTAGAGGAAAACCACGTTGGCCGGCGTGATGAAGCCCTGGTCCTGCCAGCCCTGCAGGAGCAGCGAGCGGTCCACGCTGCGCAGCCAGAGCACGGGGTCCGTGGGGGACAGGTGCTTCAGGCGGTAGCACCGGCGGCACAGGAACTCGCCCAGGCAGCGCAGCAGCTCGCTGGTGGATGCCTGGACGATGACCCGTTTGGGTGTCCCTGCAGAGGTGATGGCAGGGTGCGGGGCCTTCTTGACCGAGGAGGAGACCCCGGTCTGGGAGCCCGAGAGCTGGCTGGCAGGGGGGGCAGGCGGCTGGGCCGGTGGGGGCTGGGCGAACGTGGACAGGTTGGCGCAAGACAGCGACTTCTTCAGGTTCTCATTGTTGAGGTGCGTGATGTTGTTCTGGTAGCTGCCGTTGGGCTGCACCTTCTTGGAGTTCTTCTTCTTGGCCGACACGGCCACGATCCTCTTCCAGGGCAGCACGGAGATGATGGAGTGCCGCTTCAGGTTCTTGTCCTTGGCGTTCTTGCTATTCTGCACGGCCGTGTAGTGGCCCACCGTGGCCGCGCCATCCTCAAACAGTGTGGCCTTG